AAGGCCACGAATCCCTGAGGTAAGTTAGTCATTGCTTCCACTTGTGTGGCATAAATGTTACTTGCCATTTGTCAGCCCTTTCAAGCCCTATTAATTACAAATAGTTGCCTGGTATTTGAGAACTGGTGAAAAAAGACACATTTTATCAAAGCTTTTCATTTTACACTCATCAGGACAATCCATGAGAATACCAATGCAAGCAGGAAACATTAACACTGCATGAGAAGAAGGTAGTGATAAGACAGCAAGTGGAGTGTGATTGGTTGAGACTTTGCTACAGAGAATGGACCAACTGATGATTGACAGTTAACTGACAAGCTATGTTTAAATTTTAAATCACACAGGTTAACTCTGATTAGTCAGGGCATTATCCTCAGTAATGAATCAGCAAACAGCTGTCACATATTTTGGTGTGTTTGCAACACAAGTGGTGTTTGCTACAAACAGAGTGCTGCTATCAAGCCAAGAGGACATTCTGCCTCTCACATAATTAGTAATATGGTACATGAATTTCAGTACCGGTGTGATGATATGTAGGAAGGTTGTACGTTCCAAAGACAGGCAGATCATAGCAAACAACATAACCTTTTGGCTGTTGTAAAGATCACTTTTATATTTTTTTGGATTGTGGACTAAAAATGGGAAAAATAAATTGTTTTAAACCAAGGAAACTGTGTAAGAAGAAGTTTGCAGTTTTAAAAACAAGTTATTGGAACACACAGTTGTATTTACAATGTTGCTTTATTGGAGCAGGGAGAGGGAGAGAGAACTCCAAACAAAATGGCACCACATGTGTATGTTTGGGGCAATTTTGACCAGAGAGTCTTTTGATTGGGTTTCAATTGATGCCAGTTGTTGTGGGGTTAGGAGAGGTCAGTGTGGTAACAACTTCTTTGATAGGTTCCTGGACAAGTTGCTACAGCTTTGTGGGTGGAGAATACAGCAGAAAACATGTAGCCTGCAAAACTCTGCATGCGGAGGAGTAAAAGAAAATTCCTAGAAGTTTGCTACTCTCCCTCACCTTACCATCTGTGAGCTGCTTTCTCTACAAACCCCTGTTAAAGGAAAAACCACTTTCAGTGACAGTGAAAGGACAAATTCTTGAATACTCAATGAAAGACTGAGAATTGGTGCATCAACAACTGCTCTTCATTAGCAAATGGTGAAAGAAACTGAATGAAAACAATGTATCATTGTTTGTGATCCAGACTGTTGTTCTAGGACAACTTTTCCCCTTCCCCAACCATAATACCTGTCTTTTGTCTTGTGTTTTTGTGTCTGTTTGCAAGTGTATGGGAAATTTAAGAAAATGGTACAGTTTAAGTTATAGAGATACAAGTTAGCAATTCAGATTTCTTTTTGCCATTGATTAAAAAGACAGCTATTTACTTGTTTATGAAAAAGACCCAAGGTACATTTTCCTTTAATGTGACTTAGATAGTGAGGTAGAATTAGGCAATTCAGTAGTTTAATCAAATTTTTACTCTTGTGCAAACACTGGAAATAGAGGGGCTTGATTTCCAGTGCATTACATCAGTGAATCATGACACTGCTCACAAGCAGCAAGGTACTCACAGTATCCAACCAGCTGAGGCTTGCAAAATCTGCAACACGGAGTCCAATGTTAAATGTGATTCTGCAATTGGACATTAGCTGGATAATCCTGAGTGTACGAAGAATTTACACTGACAATCAATTTAGGAAACTACATATAAATGTATGTTGAATTGGTATTCTTGTGAATTGTCCTGATGAGTGCAAGATGAAAATGTATACGTTTTGAGAAATTCTATTAAATGGTTAATTATTAATAAATTACTGAATTGTTTTCTTATTGTTTTTCATGGGATATTTCGGTAGTTTGTTACTATGTTTCCAATATTACAACGGTAAGTACATTACATAAAGGAATTCTGGATAATACATTGCAAAAGTTGTGGAAAGTATAATATGAATCCAAGTCTTTTTCTCATTCCTTCTGCATATGAATCCTACTTGAGACTGCACTATTTAGATAGGATGTGGCGTCTGTTATTGTTCAGTGCGTGTAATGTCCAAAGGTCCAGTGATAAAGACGTTTCTCAGCACAGCTATGCAAATCAGGACAAGCACCAGCTGGGAAAGGCGAGGCACCTGACACGTTATCAGGCCTGCCTACTAAGAATGGAGAACCTGCAGTGTTTCAGAGTCCTGGGAGTTAGTCTTAACAACATTCCAGCAATAGTACTAAAGATGTGAGTTCCAGAATTAACTGCACCCCTAACCAAGCTGTTCCCAGTACAGCTACAACTCTGGCATCTATCTGACTGTGGAAAATTGCCCAGGTATCTCCTGTTCACGAAAAGCAGGCCAAATCCAACTCCGCTAATTACTGCCCTATCAGTCTACTTTTCAACCATCGGTAAAGTGATGGAAAGGATCATTGACAGTGCTATCAAGAGGCACTTGCTCAGCAACTACCTGTTCAATGATGATCAATTCGGGTTGTGAGAGAACCACTCAGCTCCCGATCTCATTACAGGCTTGGTTCAAACATAGACAAGAGTTTGTTCTGTTTTCAACCGTCCTAGAGGCTTTGAAATCTTAATATATGTGTTCTTTATTGGAAGAATTAGCATGGGCCACAAACTACCTGAGAATATTAGTGTTCTTTCGCCATGGTATAAAATATTACTGAACAAGATGTAATTGTGTTGGGGCTGTTATTCATTTGATTAGATGGCTGGATCACAGATGGGGTTCAACAGCATGGGGTTCATTCCTGTCCTGCTGAGGCCACCACAGAAGGCTTTGACATTAAGACTGTTTTTGACCAAACATGACATCAAGGAGCCTGAGCAAAACTGGAGTTAATGGTAGTCGGGGAAAATATCTGAATTACCATTGACCAGAAACTGAACTGAACTAGCCATCTCTGCTTTGGTAGGAGCTTTTAAAAGGCTCTGATTTAAGTCGAATCCAACTCAGTATCATGTTTTGTGCATCAGAACTGTGCCAGTCCTGGAAATGTAGTTTAGATCTCCATGCCAGCCCTAGGGGTCCGTGAGCCAGCTTTTCCCAGTCCTGGGGTTGTGGGCTAGTTCTTGGTGACAGTCCTGAACAGTGATTTGACTACCCTTCGGTGTCAGTCCTGGGGTGAGTGATGTCTGACTGTCCAAACCAATCTGAGCCATTCCTGGGATGGAGGAGCTACCACTGCTTAATTGTGGGACCTGGCAATTGTGTGATTTGATGTTGCCCGTTTGTTCTGTTTTCAACCATCCTAGAGGCTTTGAAATCTTAACAAGTGTGTTCTTTATTGGAAGAATTAGCGTGGGCCACAAACTATCTGAGAATATTAGTATTCTTTCACCATGGTATAAAATATTACTGATCAAGATGTAGTTGTGTTGGGGCTGTTATCTCATTTGATTAGATGGCTGGATCACAGATGGGGTTCAACAGCATGGGTTTCATTCCTGTCCTGCTGAGGCCACCACAAAAGGCCTTCTCAATTTTGTCCTTGCCTGAGGTGTGATAACCTTACCGTAAGATCTCTCTTTCTCAGTAGTGAAGATGCAGTCAATGGTCCTCTAGGATAAAGGTGACTCATCAGTGAGGGAAAAACAATAATGCAGGAGGTGCAGTAAGTAGTATGAGTTATAATTTAGAACCTTGAGTGAGATGGAATGGTTAGGTGGGCACAGTCCAAAACTAACTGTCCCATTTGGCCCATCTTAAAACCGATGGGACCTATTAACAATCGATTATACAGACTGAAATGAGTTAACACCCAGGGAATACACAACAGTAGGCAGACCTACTACAATATTCATCTGTGTAGGGACAAGTCATATTGGTAGATACAGCCACTCAGGAGGCTGCAGCAACTGGTCTGGGGTATCAGGAAACACAATAGTAATTGGATTGAGAAGAAAAGACTAATGACAGAGACAGGGAAACAATTCTTGTGGGAGCTGTGCAAAGAGCTATGGCAGGGGATTAGAGATCAGCTGAGGTCCCCAGTGTGGGAGATAAGGTTTGCACCTAGGTGAGTAGGTAATGAGGTACTTATGACTAGTGATACATGTGCTCATATAGACAAAAGGAAAAGGGCACTAGAAATACTGGCCACTACTGAAACATTTTACTAATTAATTTGTTTTAGAACTAATTCAACTAACCAACCAGGTTGGTTATTTGTTTAATTTACAAAATGTTTCTCATGCCAATGTTCATAGGACTGGTGCTTGTAACAGAGGGCATAAGTACCACACTACAAGTAATACAAAGTTCAACATTCAACAAAGTGCTCTGAACGTAACTGTATGACAGTAAGTAATCATGCATTTGACACATACGAATGACTGGTGGAAACTCTCTGGAGACATTAGGTCGTCTGTTAAATTCCTGAACTTTAAATTGCTGGAAAATTGACGTGTACCATTTAGTGATAAGATCTTGTATGATAATGTGCACCACAAGCTGGTAACTGTAGTCATAAACCTGTCTGACATAACCCTGCCTCGATAATGTTCAATCCCAACTTGAGCTCTGTAAACAACCTTAGTGGATCAATTAATGATAGAAACAACTCTTCAGAATGGTGGAACATGGCTTGTAGTCTGGGAGAAAGAACCCAGGCTGAAATGTGACCTGATAAATGATGTCGTCATAGTATTCAATACAGGAGCCTTGATAGTTAATGCCATTGATTTAACTAATAAGGTCCAAAGCCTAAGTTCACAATTTAAGAAAATTTAAAAGGGTTGAGGGATTCAAGGTACTCAATCACAGACCGAGGCCTCACAGGAATTGTTCAGAGCCTGATCACTGTACTGGAGAGTCATGTGAGCGCTGTCAATAAACTGATTCAGATGGCTAAACATACAGATGATGTGAATAATGTTTGCAGTACCTATAGGTCATGGGTACTCAAACAAACGTGGGAAAATTTGAGACAAATTTATGAGGGTACGGTTCCTTTGTGGATAACAGAAGCACATCTCTTTAACTTTCAGCACACAATGATGGTTTAACCACTGGCCAACTTAAAGATCTAACACACCAAATGGGACTAGTTTAGTTTGGAAACGTGGTTGGCATGGATTGGTTGTACTGAAGGTCTGTTTCCATGCTGTATGACTACGTGCATATAGAGCATCTACAGCGGCTGGCAACATGAGCGAAGGTAGGACTAGTTGAAATATTAAAAAGGAAAAGCTACCGTTTAAGCTGAAGAAAATATGAAAGTCAACCTCATACAATGCCTAAATGAGTTCTCCTATGTTGTTCCACACTTGCCTGAGCACGTCACCCTAATCTGGGATGAGGTATGGTGAGTGTATAGGACATACTATACACCCCAACAGCAGACTCAGGCAATTATAGATTCATCCCTGGATTGGGATAGTTTCCCCATGCCTTGGTTGTCATCCAATGATTATTGACTTTACATCTGACAGGTTCTGATTTATTGCACGGGCAGACCACACAGATGATGTGGAGGTGCCGGTGTTGGACTGGGGTAGACAAATCAGGAGTTTCATGATACCAGGTTATAGTCCAACAGGTTTATTTCAAATCACAAACTTTCCGAGTGCTGCTCCTTTGTCAGGTGAAGGCAGGAGACTTCACCTGACGAAGGAGCAAAGGAGACTTCACCTGACGAAGGAGCAGTGTTCCAAAAGCTTGTGATTTCAAATAAACCTGTTGGACTATAACCTGGTGTCATGAGATTTCTGACTTCATACAGAAGACGGCAATGGGAATTCAAAAATCCAGACAACAGGACGTTAGTTCAGTGACCATGAATGAAGGGCCAAATGATACAGAGGATTGACTCATTGCCTTTACAAACCTAAGCTGGATACCTGGCCCATATCAAGATGAGATAGAGTGGGGTAAAGGACAAGGATGACACTATTGTATTGGTTACCTTGGGCTTAGGGTAAGGTGCCAAAAGGGGGGTGGGGACTGTTAGGGGAAATTTTAATTTTAGTCTGTAAGGGTTAAATATTATCTTCATACAAAAAACAACTGAGAGGTTACTGTCAATAGAGTCTCTGTTGACACCTGTGTCAACAGGAGACAATACGAATGAAGACATTCTAAGATGACTTGGGAGCAGACAGAGTAGGACAGACATTGATAATGGAAGAGGCAGTTTTACTTCAGTTTAATCCCTGACTGAGTGAAGGAGACCTTAACACGTTAACCTAATGTAGAAAGGATGTCTGTTACATTTCCTACATATGAAGGAAGATTGGAATGTGGATAATGAGATGCTGACAGTAAAAAGATAATCAACTTTTCTGTATGTTTGTGTTTTGCTTCAGTCTAGTTACTGAGACAGATCTCTCTTTGTGCCACTCAAAACAATCGTAAAAACCTACACTGAGTTTCCAACATTCATACAAAACGGAAAGAGACCCTTCAGTCCAACCAGTCCATGCCAACCATAATTCCAAACTAAATTAGTCCCACCTGCCTGCGCTATTCATGTACCTATCCAAATGTCTTTTAAATGTTGTAATTGTACCTGCATCCACCACTTCCTCTGGAAGTTCATTTCGTACATGAACCATTTTGTATTAAAAAATTGCTGCACATGTCTTTTTAAAATTGCATCAATAGTTTGTAAATCTCTATATGGTCACCTCTCATATTCTTACGCCCCAGTGAAAAATGTACCAGTCTCTCCTTATAACTCAAAACCTCCATTCCCAGCCACATGCTGGTAAATCTTTTCTGAACCCTTTCCAGCTTAATAATATCCTTCCTATAACCGGGAGACCAGAAGTGGACATAGCATACCAGAAGAGGCCTCACCAACATCCTGTACAATCTCAACATAATGTCCCTACTCCTTTACTCAAAGATCTGAGCAATGAAAGCAAGCATGCTAAATGTCTTGTATGCATTTTCTGCAATTCTGCTCTCATTCCTTTCCATCTCTCCTGTCCTCATATTCCAATAACTCATCCACCATCATTTCTGCCGTCTCCAAACACTTTCCAGAATTCTGAAGAGAAGATTTCCTCTGCAACATCCTATTCTACTCCTCAATCACCTCCAAGGCTCTCTTCCTTTCCGACAGCAACCTTTTAGTGTATGCAGGGTAGAAGCCTGTTCACCTCCCTCTCTTCTCACTGTCCAACATTCCAAACACTCCATCCAAATAAAACAGCCACTTACTTGTACTTCTGTTAATTTAGTCTGCTATATTCATTGCTCACAACGTGGTCCCCGTAACCCTCGATCCCCTTGATAATCAAGAACCTATCTCAGTCTTAAATGTACTCAATGACCTGGTTTCCGCAGCCTTCTGTGGCAGTGAATTCCATAGATTCACCACTCTCTGGCTGAAGAAGTTTCTCCCTATCTCCATTCTAAAAAGTCTTCCCTTTACTGTAAGGCTGTGCCCTCAGGTCCTAGTCTCTCCTACCAATGGAAGCATCTTCCCAACATTCACTCTGTCCAGACCATTCAGTATTCTGTAAGTTTCAATTAGATCCCCCCTCATCCTTCTAAACTCAAACGTTCCTCATATGTTAAGCTTTTCATTCTTGGGACCATTCTCGTGAACCTCCTCTGAACCCGCTCCAGGGCCAGTACATCCCTCCTGAGATATGGGGCCCTGAAAGAGCTACCCAGCTAGTCCCAAATCCAGCCCCATCTCCGTAGCCCTCTAAATGCATCTTTCGAATATATATCCAGCTCTTTTGAAACCTCCTGTGGAATCCACCTCCACCATTCCCAGGCGGTGCATTCCAAATCATATCAACTCTAGGAAATTTCTCCTGATTTCACTCCTAGCTCTCTTGCTAACAATTTTGAAATCATGATCCTTAATTACTGACATAACTAATGGAAACAGAATATCCTTCTTTAACTTGTCAAAATTACTCATAATTTTGAACACTTCAATAAAGTCCCCTCAATCTTCTCTGCTCCAAGGAAAATAAGTCTAATTTCTCTAATCTTTCCTTGCATCTAAAATCATTCATTCCTGGTATCATTCTAGTAAATCTCCTCTGCACTCTCTTGAAGGTGTTAACATCCTTCCTTAAATAAGGTGCCAAAATTGGACACGATACTCCAAACATGGTCTGATCAATAATCTGTAGATGTGCAGCATTACTTTCTTGTTTTTATACTCTATGCCCACCTAATTATAAATCCAAGGATCCTATAAGCCTTAACAACTGTTTTAACTTCTGGACATCTTCAGAGAACCATGCACATGAACCCTGATGTACCTATGCTCCTATATTCCCCTCACAGTTGTGTCATTGAGTCTATTGTCTTTCACACACTTCTCTGCATTGAAATTTATCTGCCAGGTGTCTGCCATTTGACCAACTTGTCAATGTCCTTCTAAAGTTGCTCAGCATCATCCTCACAACTCACTATTCTCCCTAGCTTAGTATCATCTGCAAATTTAGAGATTTTGCCCTCGACACACATTGCCAAATTGTTTATATAAATCAGAAAAAGCAAGGGTCCAAACACTAATCCCTGGGGAACAATACATTCACCTGGTCTCCAATCTGAGAAACGTCCATCCATACATACCCTCTGTTTCCTATCCATTAGCCAACTTCTAATCCATGCTGCCAAGGACCCATTCAATCCCAAACATTTCTAATGTGCTAACCAACCTGCCAATGTAGTACCAATATCAAATGCTTTCTGAAAGTCAAAATATACCACACCCATAGCACTACCCTCATCCACTATCTGTCACCTTATCAAAGAGTTCAATTAAATTTGTCACACATTACCTGCCCTTGACAAAGCCATTTTGACTATCTAGTATTTACTTTTTTTCCCTAAGTGTATATTTACCTTGCCGCATATTATGGCCTCCGTTAGTTTTCCAACTATTGATGTCAAGCTGACAGGACTGTAGTTTCCTGCATTATCCTTTGCACCTTTCTTAAACAACAGTATTATGTTTGCAATCCTCCAGGCCCCTGGGATTGATCCTGTGTTTAGACAAGCCTGGGAAATTTCTGTCAGTGGCTCTGCAATTTGCTCCCTTAACTCAGAAATCCTGAATGCATCCCATCAGGGCCTAGAGACTTCTCTACCTGGAGTGCTGCCAGCCTTTTTAGCACCTCTTCTTTATCACTATACTGCTCAGTTGCTCAACACCCACGTTCTCAACTCAGCCATTGCCAAATTAGAAGATGATGACAAAGACAGAAGCAAAATATTAATTCTTCAGTGAGCAGCTTACCTTGCTTGTTCCTTATGGGCCCCATTCTATCCTTCGTTAATCTTTACTATTAATATGCTTGAAGAACAACCTTTCCTCAATGTAGGGCCTTGGGTAGAGAGACCTACGGGTTCAGGTACATAGTTCTTTGAATGTGGAGTCATAGGTAGACAGGGTGATAAAGAAGGTGTTTGGTACGCTTGCCTTCATTACTCAGTTCATTTAGTATAGGAGTTGGGACATCTTGTTGCAGCTGCAGAGGACACTGGTGAGACCACTTTTGGAGTACTGTCTACCGTTCTGGTCGCTCTGTTATAGGAAGGATATAATTAAATTGGAGAGGGTTCAGAAATAGATTTACAAGGATGTTACCAGGACTAGAGGGTTTGATTTATAAGGAGAGGGTGGAGAGGTTGGGACTTTTTCCACCAGAGCACAGTAGGTTGATGGGTGACCTTACGGAGATTTATAAAATCCTGAGGGCCTTAGATAAGGTGAATAGTAAAGGTCTTTTCCCTAGGCTTGGGAAGTTTAAAATTTTGCTTTCTAGTTTTGAAGTGAGAGGAGAAAGATTTAAAAGGAACTGGAGGGGCAACTTTTTCCACACAGAAAGTGGTTCAAATGTGTAACGAACTGCCACAGGAAGTGCTACATGCAGGAACAGTTACAACATTTATAAGCTGTTTGGACAGGTAGACGAATAGGAACAGTTTAGAGGGATATGGGCCAAATGCAGGCAAATGGGACTAGTTTAGTTAAGGAAATTTGGTCAGCATGGATGAGTTGGACTGAAGTATCTGTTTCTGTGCTGTAACTCTTCCTCTGGCCTTAGCCTCTCTCCTGCATTTGAGATACTCTTTCTGATTTATATTGCTATTATTATTCATCGACTTAAGAAAAAAAGGAGAACATGCCCCCATCTACTTCAACAGAACTAAGGTTGAGAGAGTGAACAACATTAAGTTCCTCGGAGTGACATTAATAGACAATCTGTCCTGGACTTCCCATGTAAATGTGACAGTCAAGAAGGCACAACAACACCTCTTCTTCCTTAGGCGGCTCAGGAAATTTGGCATGACCGTAGGTCCCTCACCAACTTCTACAGATGCACCATAGAAAGCATACTGTCCAGGTGCGTAATGGCCTTGAATGGCAACTGCTCTGCACAGGACCGTAAGAAATTACAGAAGGTGGTGTGCACAGCCCAGACCATCACAGAAGCCAACCTTCCATCCATGGACTCCATTTATACAGCTCGCTGCCGCGGAAAGGCAGCCAAAATCATCAAAGACCCATCGAACCCCAGTAATGACCTCCTACAACCTCTTCCGTCAGGCAGACGGTACAGAAGCCTGACCCCCCACACAAGTGGGTTCAGGAATAGTTTCTTTCTGGCTGTTATCAGACTGTTGAATGGACTCTAGCCTCAAATAATGTAACCTGCAATGTAACCTGTATGCCTAAGTCTTTTTGATCTGTACATCCTTTGCTTGCTGTGATCTGCCTGTACCACTCGTAAACAAAGGTTTTCATTGGATTTTCATACACGTGACAATAAATCAATCAATATTCCAGTATGCACCTTATGTCTCCTTTGTCTTCCTTATTATCTCATCAATACCCTTAGTCATCCAGGGTACTCTAACTTTGGACATCCTGTATTTATTTCTGATGGTATGTACCCAGCTTGCATCCTATTCATCTCCACTTTGAAATTATCCCATATTTCATCTGCTGTTTTGTCCACCAAAATGCATTTCCAATCAACATGGCTCATTTCAACGTTTAGACCCCTAAAATCTTCCCTTTTCAAATCTGGGATCTTAATCATTAACTGGTTCTTATCCTTTCCCAAATTAATATGATCACTCTTTCCCAAATGCTCCCCCACTCTGATGTTATCCACCTGGCCTGCTTCATTTCCTCAGACCAGATCCAGCATAGTCCCTTCGTTGGTAGAATATATACGGCTCCAGAAAGTTCGCCTGCCCACAATGTGAGAATTTCTCCCCCTTCTGAGCTCCTCATTCTACCTTTTTCCCAGTCTATCCTAGTCACCAACTATCACAACCCTACTTGTCCTGCAGATTTCCATAATCTGCCTACCAATGCTCTCTTCTACTTCCTTCCCATTATTTGGAGGTCTATAATACCCCCAACAAGATCACTGCTCCCTTCCTGTTTCTCACATCCAACCATACAGATTTTAATTCAGGAACAGAGCAATGGTTCTATCTTTGAAATGGACTACTACACCACCTCCTCTTTTACCCGCCCTATTTCTACCGAAAGCCTTATAACCCAGAACATTAAGTATCCAATCCTGCTTTGGCTTGAACCATATTTCTGTCAATACTGCTACATCAAATGTCCCAGAGCAATTTCTGCTTCCAGTTCCTCACTTTTGTTCGCTATAATCTGTGCATTTATATACATACTATTTAACGCTGCCCTTACCTCAGGTCATACAGTCATACAGCACGGAAACAGACCCTTTGGTCCAACCAGTCCATGCCAAATATAATTCCAAACTAAACTAAGCCCACCTGCTTGCTCCTGGCCAAAATCCCTCCAAGTCTTTCCTTTTCATGTATCTATTTTATTACTTGTACCCGGATCCACCACTTCCTCGTGAAGTTCATTCCATATGTGAACCACCCGCTCATAAAAAATTGCCTCTGCTGTCTTTTTTAAAATCTCTCTATCTTTCTTGCCCATTAGAAGGCATTCATTTCCTTGTTCACTATATCCTTCCCTCACTTCCTTTTCCCTATTCATCACCTTCTCTCTTTTGCCCTCTCTGATATTCCCTAAACTAGACCCATTTGTCAGCTCAACCCCCGCCTTACAATTTTTCTGAGAAGATTTGTAGCTCGGGTTGTGGATGAGGATTTGGACATGCTCGCTGAGCCGGTGTTTGATTGCAGATGTTTCATCACCCTGCTAGGTAACATCATCAGTGCACCTCTGGTGAAGCGTTGGTGTTCTGCCCCGTTTGTTATTTATATGCCTCGGTTCGCTGGGCTGGTTGGTACTACTTCCCGTTCTGTTTTTCAGTGATTTGTACATTGGGTCCAGTTCAACGTGTCTGTTGACGGAGTTCCAGTTGGAATGCCAGGCCTTCAGGAATTCCCTGGCATGTCTCTATTGGGCTTGTGCTGTTAAGGATGTGTTGTTCCAGTCGAATTCATGTCCTTCTTTGTCAGTGTGTACGGAGACCAGTGAGAATTGGTCATGTCTCTTGGTGGCAGAGACATGCCAGGAAATTCCTGGAGGCCTGGCATTCCAATCGGAACTCCATCAACAAACACATTGAACTGGACCTGATATACAAACCACTGAAGAACAAAACTAGAAGTAATACCAACACATATAAATAACAAGCGGGACAGAACACCAATGCTTCACCAGAGGTGCACTGACGATGTTACCTAGCCAGGTAACGAAATGTCTGCAATCAAACACACTGGCTCAGCGAGCAAGTCTACAACTCCTTCCTTTACAATTTTAAATCTACTGCCACAACACTATTTATTCTTTCAGGCAGGATATTAGTCCCTTTTCTGCTCAGGTGAAGTCCCTGTCTTCTTAATGGCTTTCTCCTGTCCCAGAAATAATCCTAATGTGCCAAAAATCTAAGCCCCTCCCTTCTACACCCTCCTTCAAAGGCTCCCTGATATACCTTTACCTAAGTGATGAAGTTCGTGGCACAGGTAGTATTTCTGAGATTACTGCCCAGGAGATCTTGCATTTCAACCTACTCCTCAACTCCTAAAACTCATCTTGCAAGTTCTCCATGCTATCCCTCCCTATGTTGTTAGTTCCCATATGAACCCAACTTCTGGTTTTTCACTCTCCTTTCTTTGGTCTTTTGCGATCCCCTTCTTAGACATGGAGACTGAGTCGAATTCTCCCAGAATCCTCCTGAGTTGTTTCTCAGTGGCAGCCTCTGTACGATGTACAGACCATGATCTCACTGAAAAATCAAACAGACATGAAAGGGCATAATGACCTTTCCCTGTCCCTAATTAACAGACATTTCAGAAACAATCTGGTATAAAGCAGTTTGAGAATGTGGAGGTCATAGAGCGTCCGAGTGAGTTCAGACTGAATAAACAATTCCAAGAAGCAGGCCTGGTGGCCAGTGGTGCCACTCTGAAAACTGACAGTGTAAAAAGAGGAAGTCAAATCCTGACAGTCACATTTGCAAAATGAATTGCAAGATCTATAGGGATGGACTGTAGCTGAGAGCTTGGCCTGCATTCCTCTTTTAATCTATTTGTTTAACAAACAGGGAGTGGCTGTGATCAAGCCTGCAACAAGGCTCAGGGTTCATCACTTGGACAAACTCCTCAATGCAGTGAATAAATAAGCAAAGAGTGATTACCAAGCCAAATGCATCCTCCTTTTCCTCTGTACAGAAATTAGTGTACGCACGGTTGGTAAATCAAGCTGTGTCTAACCCTTTGCTGTCTCTGTCCTGGGAATGTTTGATGGGGACAGTGAAGATGGAGCTTTACTCTGTATGTAAACTCGTGTGTCCGTGTCCTAGGAACATTTATTGGCTACAGCGTCAAGGTTGCTTTACTTTCATTTTAAAAACGTCAAGGAAACTTTACTCTGTATCTAACCCATGCTGTTCCTGTGCTGGGAGCGTTTGATGGAGACAGTGTTGAGGGAACTTTTCTTTCAGTTTAAAAGAGGTGAGGGAGCTTTACTTTCAGGTTAAAACAGTAGAGAGTATCTAACCCTGTTCTGTCCTTGCCCTGGGGAAGTGGATGGGGACAGTTTAGAAGGGGTCTTACTATTTCTAACCCTGTGCTGTACCTGCTTTGGGAAAGCTTGACAAGTACAGTGTACAGTTAGCTTTACTTTTAGTTTGAGTAGAGAGAGATTTACTTTGTCTTGGTAACAGCTGGGGACAGCTACTGTACCAGCTTAGATACAGAGTAAAGTTTCCCCTACATTGTACCTCACCCAGTGCTGTAACTGTCCAGGTGGCGCCGAGGAGGGAAGTGTAATGGGAGCTTTATTCTGGCTTCAAACTAACCCCCACGCACTCAAGTCATATGAATATATTTATCAGAAGCAGGCATAAGTCATTCAGTCCCTCGAGTATGCTCCGCCGTGCATTAAAACCTTAGCTTACTTAAATGTTGTCTCAGTCTTGTCCCTTTCTTCGGGATGCATGTCAGGAATTGTTCTAAAGAAATGATCATACCTTCCCTAGACCCCACCCCTCCCCTCTCTATTTATTTCTGAGCTCCCTTCTCCCTCCCCATTTGTGAAGGGTCCGGACCCAAAACATCAGCTTTCCTGCTCCTCTGATGCTGCCTGGCCTGCTGTGTTCCACAAGCTCCATACTTTGTTAGCTCTGACTCCAGCGGTTGTAGTTCTTGCTATCTCTGAGCGAAGTAGGTTTGCTAGCTGTGGTTTAATCTGAGGTTTAATCACATTAATGTCTGTGGCAACTTAGAAATATTATGCTCCCCATTTTCAGTAAAACATAGCAATAATGCCCATAACTTGCAAAGTTTGGATCATAGTTTAGCCCTTAATTAACACTCTTCAAAGGGGATTGATGTTGGATAATAAATGCTGGCTTAGCCAATGATGCCAAGATTGCAAGAAAGGAGGAAAAAAATGATTTCAGAACTTAAAATCAATAACATGAGAGCAAATACTAAAAATACCATCTTTCAGCGTGGAAAGGTGCTCCTTGATCAATTGTGTTTCTTCTAACTCTTTGAAAGAGCAAGCAAATGGAGTCCTGCACTCACCCGCTTTTAGCCCTATTCTTTTGAAAAGTTACTATTCAAATTATTTCCACTTTCCTTCAGGCAGTGCACAGACTTGGAAACAAACACAAGTTAATACAATCTGGGCGTCAATAAATCAAACTGTACAGTTTCAGAAGTAATCTCAACTGCATTCC